TGGAACATCCAGAATGCCAGACTGAGCTTTCTGCTACGGGCAGTCTATGATGTTCTTCCCAGTCCCAGAAACCTCACCCGTTGGTTCAAGAGTGAAGAGTCCTGCCAGCTGTGTGGTCTTGAACAAGCAGACTTGAAGCACATCTTGTCTAACTGCTCAGTTGCATTACAACAAGGCCGTTATACGTGGAGACATAACAAAGCTCTCCGTCAAATTGCAGTAACTCTAGAGGAAGTGAGGAAGGAAACAGCAGGAACAGATTCACCACTACAGCCAATCCAGTTCGTAAGAAGTGGGCAGCAGCCCTCAGGGGCAACCAGCAGTAGGAGCAGAATAGGAGGTGGCCCATTATGTAGAGGAGTGTGGAAAATGAGCGTAGATCTCGACAGGCAGCTGCATTTCCCAAGTAGTATCTGCGCAACGACATTGAGACCGGACCTTGTCCTGTGGTCAGAGGACCAAAAGTCAGTGTTGATAGTAGAACTAACGGTTCCTTGGGAAGAGAACATTCAGGTAGCGTTTGAAAGGAAGAAGACAAGATACGAGGAACTGGTCCAGCAGTGTAGGCTGAACGGCTGGAAAACCCAGCTCTACCCAGTAGAAATAGGAGTTCGTGGGTTTGCAGGGTCATCACTACTGCGGCTATGCAGAGACCTCCAGATCCGAGGGAAGGCACAGGCCCAGCTTGTCCGCCGTGTGTCTGAAGAAGTGGAGAAGAGTAGTTTTGTGATTTGGCTAAGAAGGAAGGATAAGAACTGGAAACAGACATCCCAGAAGTAGAGACGACTGTACCGGAAGTAGGATGGAGACGTCCACCCTACTGTCCCACCGCCCCGAGGTGTCTTAGATGTAAAGGGACGAAACACCAGTGAAGGCCGGAGTCTGACGATCCGGTGCAGTCGCCTCAGTGATGCTGGAAAGCATGTCATAGTCCAGCAGGTTAGTGTCAACCTGTATACCTTTTGTAAGGTAGTTTTAAGATTACTATAAGGTGGTTGACCCCTCCCCCTCCTGAAAAAAGAGGAATTTAGTTCTAGCTTTACCTAGCCACTACTAGAACAGTTTTGCTTGTCCATATGTATAACAATGGAAGGCCTTTTAATGTTTTGACATGCTGAAATGTCTCAAGCTGTGTATAGAATTAATTTTACTGTCACTGTGCTACTTTTACAAAAAAAAAACACAAAATTATCACACCTTTTCTTTGAAATCCTGAGCTTAATTATTTGTATCTGATTTTCCATGACTGGGGGGGTTTCAGAATTTAGGCCACTTTTTTTGCATAACGTTGATTAACAATGTTTAGCAAAATGATTAGCGAAAATTATTAGACTTGTATATTTAAATGTTTTAGAAGAATCTACCCTTAAATCGGGGCTTATTCTCTTTAGGATTTATTTTCTTAGGGGTAAAAATCAACTTTCTGTTTTACTTATGATTAAAGCATGGTTGTAAGACTAGGTCTTGCCCTAGCTAAGAAAATTTAATACCTTACAGAGGTTATTTAAAAATGACTTGTTGGGTGTGGATAAAAGCCACAAGGCATCTCTAACAACATTCATCAATAATTGTTAATTTAATAGACGCCTG